TAGTCTATTTAGAGGAAACGGGAAGGCATTTCAGTTCATCAAAACACTGGTGATTAATCAGCCAAGTACCAGGCTGTTTTCATTAGGCTTATTTTTAAAGGTCTGACACGCTGTGTAAAAATATTCCCCTAATAATCGTGCTCGCAGCAGAGGGAATGGCACGGGAGGGGGTTCGGCGGCACTGGTTTCTAGGTATCCAAGGTAAATATGTCAGCACGGCGGAGAGGAGGGAGCAGGCAGGACTCAAGATGGCAATGGAGAGGGCACAGGGCTGGCGCTGGCCGCGGCAGATGGAGCCAGCCTGGCTGGTGGCCGGGGCTGCAGGAGAAGGTGCGCTGGTGGCTGCGGGGACAGCCAGGGTTTCAAGACCAGGAGGAAGGATGCGTTTCTCTCTCCTTTTCTGCATCATTTTGCCACGCGGCTCTTCTGCCGAGCTCCAAGAGCTGGAGCAACGTGCTTCATTTCCAGCCCAGGGGTGAGGAGTTCTGCACCGGCATCAGGGAGCAGAGCTTGGGCTGGTGTCACCGCCCGGGCTGGCACCTGCAGTGGAGCTGGGGCGGTGGGACACGCCGAGACCCCAAAGAGGGGTGCAAAGGCAGGAGAGGATGAAGGCACACTCCCTTCTTGGGGACACACGTGGCCTCGGGCAGGGCCAAGAGCAGCTTCTGACCTGGCGTTAGAGATGTCCCCAATCTCCACCAAGGGATGGAGAGTCTCATGCGGGCAGTGGCAGATGGGTAAGAGTGACCCTTGGTTTTAGAAAGACAGATCCGATTTCTTGTCTGGAAGTTTTTGCTCCTGATTCCTCCTGCTGCTGCTGCTGCTGATGGAGCCGGGCGCTTGCAGAGGGCCTTCTCCAGCGAGGACAGGGGTGTCACGATCAAGGCAGCTCTGCATTAAATGAAACAGTTTGAACACCTCTTACCTCTTGCTACCAGCCAGCACTTTCCGCAGTAACTTGCAGCTCTTTGACGGGATCCTTCCAGCGCATCCCAAATTTGCTGGATGCACGTGATCCCACAAACTCTACCCATGGTGGTGGTAACACCCGTGGCCGGTCACTGCGCATCCATTCCCTTCCCTTTTTCCCCTGCCTGGGGGCACAGCTGGCTCCTTTTCCCCCGGCTCCTTTTCCATGTCCTGTTCTCTGGCTCCAGTGCCCTCCTTCCGCAGAACTGCCCCACGCCTGCCCCGTGCCTGGACACATGGCAACACATCCATGGACGGAAGCTTTAATGAGAACAGGACTGACGATGAGATAACGAGACATTCCCAGCACTTGCCACAGCAGCTTTGCTATGCATCTTATTTTGCTCTAGTTTCATCTTGTTTGGAGAAATCCATTGCCTTCCCTGAGCATGGGAGATGTTCCAGGTCCTTCTCTCCAGGATTTTCCTCCCTTTCTCCAAGATCTGCTCATTTCTGGCCAAAACCTTTGCTCTGCTTGGTCCTGGATGGGCCCAGGGAGCTTAGGGGAGACTCAGGGCTCCCCACTGTCAAGTTGTGTGAGCTCAGGCTGGGAAGGAGAAGGCTTTTTGGGGCAGTTGGTGTGGAGATGAGGCTGCTGGCTCTGACTCGAGGGGTGCTCAGCCTCTGGACACGAAAAGGCTGCAGAACCCTTGGAGGGAGGCAACTGTGACTTCTCGCAGGAACCTGCCAGAAACCTCCAACCTGGGTCATCCCCAAGCACCTTTGAAAGGCACCGTTGGGCACGGGTGTGGGGGGAGCCGCGTCCTCATCCCACCTCCTGGCCAGCCTCCTGCCAGGGCAGACGTGGCTCTTCCTTCACCGAGGTGCTTCAGGACGTCACTGAGCATCCTTGCACCATCCCAGCCCTGGGATCAGGGCACGTCTTGGTGAGAAGGGCCACCGGCTCAGTGCCAGAGGAGGTGGCATCACCTCCTCCCTGCAGATCCCCTCTGGGAGCCCCATCCCTGCTCCGGGGGGTTTGCAGCAGCGGGGGGCTGTGTGGACGCACGGACGGGCTCTGTCGGGGCCTGGCCTATGCCTTTCTGTCGCCTGTTTAGGTCTGCGCCGGGGAGCCAAGAAATCTCTTAACTAAATAAACAGCGCTCTCGTCCCAGATGGCATCTGTTTATACACCAGGTACAAACAGTCCCCACGGCTGCCCCGCTCACAGCCAGGCCAGTTCTTTCCACAAAAAAGCGGTCCCCAAGGGCCAGCAGTGCTGCATTCTGGGAAGGCAGAGCTGTGCTCTGCCCCGGCACGGACACCACGGCCAGGGCATCGTCTGGAGGAGGAGGCCAGCCGTGCCTGAAGACCGGGGTGTCCTCTGATTTGGGGATTCAAGGCACTGGGTGAAGCCACCGTGCTGTCCTAGCCCTGAAAGGGTCCAGGGAGCTCGTAAAGGTGTCACAGCTGCATCTCCCAGAGACATCTTTCTTCCTCCTTTCCCTGAAGTCCTAAAGTCCCCCCGGCAGAGACGACATCTGCTCCTCCACCCCCTCGCCTTGGTGCTTCCTCCTCCTCCTGCAGCCAGCGTCGCTATCAGGTCGCCAGCATCGCTATGGTCAAGCTGAGGACGCCCAGATTAATCCCGCAGCTGCAGATCTGAGCCTGACCTAACCATGGCTCTGCGGCCGGGCTCCCAGCTAGCCGTCTCTCAGCATGTCACCCTCTGCTCTTCTCCGGACACAAACCCCACGGTGCCGGCTGGCACGCAGAGCCGAGCCGTGCCGCCAAAGCCAGGCAGCCAGGAAAAGCCGGGCCAGCCGCGAGGGGCAGGAGCTGTGTGCTCGCCGGCTGCAGAGGAGGGAGAAGGAGGTTTAAACGGCCAAACCCTGATGCAGATTTTACAGTAGGATCCTCCTCTGTACGGCAAACTTGGTCCCAACGTCAAAGGGTTCATCTGTCTTCAGTGATCTGTTCATAGCATTGGCTCCTCTCCGTTGGGAGTGGAGGTGTCTCATAGCGGGTGGTCGGGGAGATGAATCCTGCCCCGGTGCCCTGCTCTTACTTCATTGCTATAACAAAGTCTTGGTCCTGTGCCGGCACCTCTCCGGGCACACCAGGAAGCAAATACGGTGCCGTAAGAAAACCAACGGCCTGGACGGCTGCCTGCACCGAGCTGCAATCAAGGTCTTTGGTCGCAGAAGCAGAAGATGTCGTGACGATGCTGATGGGAGACTCTTCCCAGCCCCATCGGCCGTGGGTGCTGGCTGCGACGAGGCGTTTGTTGTGTCCTGGAGCTGCCAGTGCTGGTTGTGGTCAGCAGCAACGCACAGGGCAGGCTGTGCCAGGGGTAAGGTTCAGGGGCATGACAAAAGTACCAAAAATTTTGTGACAATGATCAAAT